AAGAGAAAAGACGAAATTTTTTCTTACTTCCCGAAATGTACATATATTTATATAATAACAACTGCCATAATTTTACTTATCATGCTCGAATTATTCGCACATTTAACGCAACCGGAAGTCGTATCTTGGTCTGACAGGAGCCAGTACAGTAGGGAAATTGCATTTGTGAGCAAAGCTACTCGACAATATATGCATGCTACAGTCGTAACTTACAACATCTGATTAAATATTTATATGTTCACGCTAACATAATTTGGTAACTGTTCTAAAAAATTTTTTTAACTGATTGCATTAAAAGAATTTTTTTGAATTAAATAAATGGTTTTCAAAGAAAAAAAAACCATTTAATTGACTCAAGTAAAAATTATTTGTTAGAAATAAATATTTGATATTTTATTTTTGAAAAAGAAAATCTATATTTATCTGAATATCCTTCCTTTTGAAGGAAAAAAAATTATCTTTTTATTTTTCAAAACAAAAAATATAGAGGGGATTTAATATAAAAAAAATCCAACTAGAATACACGAAGAATAAATAAAAATGCTATACAAAATATTCCATGCCATTTGGGTTAATTTGTTTTATTTATTTTTTTTTTTGTTTTATATTTATGAGTGAAATAGAAAGTTGACCGATTTCGGAGTTTCATGAAATGTATTTATCTTAAACGATAATGTAATTTTCTGTTATTCGTAGTGAAAAACACGTTTACTGCTGGGGTTGCAATCTTTGAAGCGAAAGAAATAACGCTACCTAAACTCGCTTCGCGCAATATCTTGTTTCCAAGCTCTTAACTTTTCTCCCAAGTTTTGCAACGATGCTCTTTACTTATTCTTGACGGAGATCTGTACTCAGCAAAATGTTTGCTTGGAAATTTGGCTCGCTCAACCAAAATTTTTTATGATCATACTTCTTGTCGTTTAAGACTGAAATGCGCGCGGATATTTAACATATACACATGATTTCGAATATGTTTTACCTTTCTGAATAAAATTTTAAAATGCATTTTAATTAAATTTTTTAATTAATTTTTAAATAAAATATATAGAAATTTTATTCTTTACTTTTTAAATTTAATTTATTATTTATTTACTGTTTATTTAATGAAATTTTTTAATTACATAATTATATTTTTTAATTTTGAAAACGTGAACTACAATTTGAACTATAATTTTAAACAAGTTGATCTATAATTTTTAGCAAATTGAACTAATAATTTTAAAAACATGTACTATAGTTTTAACAATCTCTGCTATAATTTTAACACTGTCGACTATAATTTTCAACCATTGGATTTGGGATATTGTTATACATTAACTCGACAGTAAATTAACAATTAATCTCATTGTTCTAAATCGCGCCTCTCTAAAATATTTATTGTCTGGAATTACCGTTTAAATCTCAATAGTTAATTACGAAAAAAAAGAAATTAAAAATTATTGAAAAAAAATCGTTTGGTATCGAGTCTTTTCAACTTCACGTTTTATTAAAAAAAAACCGATAATAAATTTACGTATAAAATTGAATTCATAAAAAAACTGTATGAATAACAACGATATTAATTATTTCGTAAATTCACGAAATTTTTTTATTCTAAAATTTACATAACAAAGCAATTATTCGTGAATTTTATGAAACAATTATATCGATCTTTTAAATTCCAATAATAAACGCGTTTTTAAATTTTTTTTTTTTTTTGAAATACCTTTTTTGCCTAAATTACAATTTTTTTTAACATTATCGTTTGATATAACCAAAAGCGAAATGAAAATTTGGAAATAAAATTTTTTTAACTATGAAAGTAATATCTTATTACGTGACGTAATATAGCGTGACGTAAAGTACCTACTTAAGACGTATGTACTTGTAAAAATTGCTATACAGAGGTTGGCAAAAATCTATTTTTTTCTCTTTCCCCAACAGAAAATGAAAATAAATACCTCCTAGAAGTCATAAGCAAATTTCTACTTAAGCAGAAGGCACGCATTTTTGTGGAATGTAATATTTTGAAATACACACGAGTATATTTCTATTTCCATAATTCATATATGTATATATTAGAGTAGGAATTTATTTCTATAATATTTCTATAAACATCTCTCAATAAGACATTACTGAAATTTCCGGAATTTACTGTTAGTTTCGAAAAACATAAATTATTAAATTCATACACGTATTCATTCTGAATATTTAAATACCACATCTCTATAATATTATGTTGTAAAATATTGATGATCCCCAGAGAAAAATAAGTTAACTGAAATTAAGAATATATTTTTGGTTTTTAAGAATATTTTATACTTAAATTAAGTATATATTCTTATGTTAGGAATGATGTATACTGAATTTAAGTATAAAATATTACTAAATTAATAATATATACACTGAGAGAAACGATTGGTTGCAATTACCATTTTGTTAGTAAAAGTATTTTTGCTAATTTACATTAGTTACTGTTACCAATTCGTTAGTCAGCCTAACCACTCTCGAAATCTGAATTAGTAAAAATGTTTACTAATTTGAATTGGTGACTCACTTTTTGCATTAGAATTAATTAAATTTTACTAATTGTTAGTAAAAGTTACTAATAATTAGTAAAATTTTACTAATTGAGAAGCAAAAAGTGAGTCACTAATTCAAATTAGTAAACTTTTTTTACTAATTCCGATTTAGAGAGTATTTTGTTAGTAAAGTAACTAATTAAATAGTTATTCCAACAAACTAGTTAGCTAAGCCAACTAATAAAATAGTTATGCTAACCAATAAAAATAGTAACCATAATTAATAAATTAGCAGCAGTATAGTTTACTAACTAAAAATGGTAACTCCAACCAATCTTTTCTCTCAGTGTATTTCAAAATATTTTGTACCTGTGCAGAAAATTTGACCAGGCCCAGGTCGGGCTCAGACCAGGCATGACCGGGGCCAGATCTGGCAACCTGATCTGGGCCCGATCGAAGTGAAACAGGGAACCCGACCGGGGTCATGCCAATTTTCCCGATCTGGAATCATGGTCGGAACCCGACCAGGGCCATGGTAATTTGCTCGACTTTATAGTAATTGTAATTTTCAATAAATTATAATTATTTATCTCTAATTGATAAATAAAACAATAAAATTAATCAATACTATTTTATTTTATGAATCTGCATTTAAAAAAACACCTTATAAAATGAAAATGAAATAAAAGTTGAAAAAAATTGTTAGAATAATTGTTTCGTTTACTCTCTAAATCTGAATTAGTAAAAATGTTTACTAATTTAAATTAGTGACTCACTTTTTGCTTATGAATTAGTAAAATTTTAGTAATTATTAGTAACTTTTACTAATAATTAGTAAAATTTAAGAGAGACTCACTTTTTGCTTTAGAATTAGTTAAATTTTACTAATTGTTAGTAAAAGTTACTAATAATTAATAAAATTTTACTAATTGAGAAGCAAAATGTGAGTCACTAATTCAAATTAGTAAACTTTTTTTACTAATTCCGATTTAGAGAGTATTTTGTTAGTAAAGTATAGTTTATTAACTAAAAATGGTAACACCAACCAATCTTTTCTCTCAGTGTATTTAAAAATATTTTGTACTTAAATTAAGTTTATATTCTTAAAAATGCGCCAAGAATATATTCTTAATTCAAGAAAATTTACTTCAAGCTAGTAAAATTTTCTTGGTAGAAGATAATATTTAATTATCAAATACAGACAAATAAATTGGTTTTCTTGATTCAATGCAATTTTTTTATTATTATTGGAGGGTAATTTAAACATTTATTGATTCACTTAACGATTGAAGAAATGAGTATAGTCCCTTGGTATATAACGTTTATTGAAAATTGAAGTCTTTCATCTGAAAATTGTCGATATTCTTTTGACTATAAGTTTGTTGATCATTCAAGTGTGAGGATGTGTGTGGATCATGTACTTATCGTTCTCGGCCAGACCTTATAAATCCCCTCTTAAAAACTACATTCTCCATTATATATAGAATGTGCGGAAATCATTGTTCACAAAGTGTATTTATTTTTACAAAAAGTAATTTCTTTTTTTCAAAAAAAACAAATTTTGTTTTAGTTTACTATATTACAATAATAATAATAATTTGTATTATATTCGAATGTTTGGAAAATTCTTTTTTTTACCACGATTTCCATTGGAATCCATTTCCAATTTATCGAGCAGTAAATTCTAAAGTTTGAAGCCTCTTGATGTAATTAAAGTTTATTAGAGTGATGATTACGTGTGAGCTTCATCGTTTATGTATAGAACCATAAATACGATATGAGGTTAGCACCTGCTTAACTACTCTTTGTGTCTGTTACATTCTGGTCAGGCATGCAGAGCAATAATTATACCACACTTATCGTTTAACTTGCGTGACCTTAAATTTTGGTTGTGATTAATCGAGTATACACTGTAATTTGCAGTTGAATGTTTCAAGTATTTTGAACATTCTTAATTTTAAAAGTTTTCATAAAAAGAAATTGATTCTAATTAATACATTATTATTTTGTATATATATTTTTTTTATTATTTTAGTTATTTTTAATTATTTGTATTCGTCGCAAATTAAGAATATATTTAAACACTGAAAAGTGTATAATTTTTTTGATGTCATTATTTCCGAGTATATTAAGGGATGTAACACACTGGTTGTCTTGTTCAGTTATGAAAAATGTCATGTTGAATTCACTAGGAATGCAAAAGTTGGATTTTAGCCAAAGGCGTCATTCCAATTTGATTAAAGTAACTCTAGAAAAACAATACATCCCCTATGTAGAAAATTTTTGCTTCTCTCATCATTTTTTGAAAAATTATTATTTTTTAATTAATTTAATTAATTATTTTTCTTTATATTATAAAAAGAGAAATTAAATTAATTTTAAAAATTAGTTTATTAATTCGTTTAGTTAGTTTATTTATTTATTAATTTATTTATTTAGTCAAACTCTATTGTCTGAAAATAGTTCACTTACATTGATTTTGAAAATGAAGAGGAAACTTTTAAAGTTTGTCATAATTAGTTATAAAAATATGCTGTAGATAGTGAAGTATCTTCATAAAAAAAAAGTTGGAAATTTTTTGTCCTGAATTTGAGGGAAAAGTTGTTACAAAACCTCTTGTGAAAATATTCCTCTTTAATAAAAACGAGTATGTACTTTGGCAATGGAAAAAGCAAAGCTACTGTTTGTCATTTTAATCTCACAAAACTGTAAAAAAAAATTCTATTTGATTTCCTAAATATTTTTTTAAAACAAATTTTTATCAACATTTTGTTATTTTATTGTAATTTGAAATTTTCATTAATATTTTTTTTGTAATTTTAATTTACATTTTTAATTGTAATTTATTTTTTTTTATAATTTCTTTTGTAATTATAAAATTCTATTAATAATAAGTTATGTAATAATAATTTGTAAATTTTCACTAATAAGGTTAATTGTCAGACAAATATTTGATGAATTTGACGAAAATAGAGTTTATAATATGCGCATTCATTTTTGAGATATATTTAAATTTAGAGAGCAAATTTAACGTTTCGTTCACAAATATTTTTCTTAGTTTTTTAGAGTGCTTTCGTTGCATAAGAAAAAAAAATAAATTGAAAAATTCATTGTAGCGAGTTTATTTGATTGGAATTAATTCAAATTAATATTATAATGATAAAGTTATTTGGAAAAAGTTTCTTTTAGCTTCTTTGATTATTGAATTTTTTTTTTATTAATGCATTATAATTTTGTAAGATATTATTATTATTTTTAAATTACTCTATATAATATCAAATAATTAATTAATTATCTTTGATATTGTGAAATTCATAATAAATGTTAATTAATTGTCTTGTTTAAACTTGAAATCGCTAAAAAAGTTTTTCACCGAATTACTATTTAAATAACTGCTGTTATAATTATTAATGAGGTGTTTGACTCTATGACCATTTCTGAAATGAAATATTACTTGTAGACACGCTTAGCACTCAAGTTTATTAATTTTCGTGAAACGTGATAAATGAAGGTTAATAAGATTAAAAAAAAAGGTTACAATAATCAGAATATTTAAAAATAATAAATATCGTTTCGAATATTTTAATTTTTAATATAAAAATAATTTTTAAAAATAATAATTTCAATGAAAATTTTTAATTACAATAAACTTTTGGATTACAAATTAATTTTTTTAAGTTCCAAAATGAGAGGAATTCTTCACTTATTTGAATATTGAAATATTTTATATATTTAATTCTTGACTTACTTTTTTGTCACAAAAAATTTGACTTTGACTAATATTTGTGTTATGTGAAAAGTTTTTCTATTCAACTTGCTGAATTGCCCTCTGGGATCAGAATTCACACGTCTTTTCAGCCTTTGGATTATTCAAACAAAAGTTTAAGGTGAAATTGAGACGAGAATCGATTTATCATTAAATCTTTTGATCCGCGCTTTTCAGAATATATTCCTCAATTTTTTTTTTCGATTTCTCAAAATTCTCTGTATATCAGCTTCTTAATTTAAATATAAAAAAAATTTTGTTTGCAAATTTTTTGTAAACACATTTTCATGTTTTTAATTAATTTACAATTCTACATTTTTCTTCTCCTTTTTAATTAAAATTGATTAACTTTCTTCGACTGTAATTAAAACAAAAAAAATACAAAAGTTAACAAAATGTCGCGGGTTCGTTAGAATTGTTAGTTGGAAAAGTAAGAATTGTTCAATTTAATAAAACTGCCTTTGCAAGATTACAACAAACAATGTAAAAGTTTTAATCTTAAAATGTTTAACTTCTAAATTAGTTGCCGCTGTATCCATCCAAATCAACACGCAAAAATTGTCCTGAATAGATATGAGCTAAAGTTTGCGTGATAATTTTGTTGAAAGTTGTAAGTTAATTTGCAACCCGAATGAACAGAATATTTACTTTTTATTGACTTTATGAAAGATTCATTCTGGAAACTTCATTTCTATGTCGTCGAGTATTCCGCGGTTTCATTCTCTTTGTCAAAAAGATGGAAGAAATAATGTAATAGGAAATTGTGTCTGTCAGAACCATTAACCTCACATTCGTCATATAGTTGTTCTTCTTTTTTTTTATTTTATATATTAAAATTCCATACATAGAAGAGAGGAATTCTATTAGAGTGCATTGTTTCTTTGTATATTTTCAAATGTAAAAATTATATTCAATTGCAGACGGAGAAAAATATTTGGTTTTTTAGAAATTTTTTTTTATTTCTGTGTAAGCAAACTTAGTTGGTTTTTATCATTATTTTTATTGTCTTTATTTAAAAAAATTTAATTTCAAACTTTTTATGAATTAATGTTGACACAATCAAAAATATTTTTGGAATTAAAAAAGTTACACAAATATCAATAAAATGTTTTATTTTTAAAGGAAAAATAACAGAAAATATTTTTTAAAAATAAATTTAAATAATTTCTGAAATAGAGCTATTTACATATTCGTACATTAATAAGTTTATTAATGAGAGTTGAAAATATATAATTATGAAACTTTTTCAATTTAGCGAGTTTTATTAATAATGCAGATGCAAATTAAATCCAAATATTGCAAATTATAAAAGTTTCCTTAATTATTTATGTGTTTGACAAACCGACAATGAATCAATAAATTAGAATTTTTTTTTTTAATTTTTAATCCAATGTAATAAAAATTACATTAATAATTATTTTTCTTATTAACCGGCACTTCTTATCTATAATACCCTTTACTGAATAAATAAAGAAATGATAAATTAAATATATCACTTTTAATTTTTATATTTTATTTTTATTTTACTGGAAAACTTTACTTTAAATTAAAATAATACAATTATTTTAATTAATTCTTTTACTGTCGTCAGAGTTGAGAAATTTAATTTTCTCATTACTTAATTAAAATTAGTATCTAAAATGTAATTCATTTAATGTTCATTTAAAAGTCATATTTACTTTATCATTTACATATTTTATAATCTTAACATAAATATTATTATTATAAAATTTAAATTAGTTGTATTTTATTTGGGTATTAAAAAAATGAGAGAAGCAAAATATATCATTTTTATATTTCTATCGATTTCAATAAGATGTAATTATATATAAACTAGAAACGAAATGCAATAAACGTGAGATTGCAAGATAAATTTGTCTTGTCAGAACAAAAAAATATGGAAAAAATTACGTTCTTCAAAAGTACCACTACAAGTTAAATAAGAAGCTTCTGGCTTACGGGAAAACATTCGCTCTTAACGATTATACGATTTCAAATTGAATCTGTTCTAAAACGTTATTGCGCTAGGATGTTAAAACCACAATAACACAGAAAAAGCATTTCATACTTTTTTTTTTTTAATATGAAAATTTTGATTAAAGATCTTGTGCACTTTGAAAAGAAATAATTTAAACTTATTTCTACTATATATATATGAAAGGATAGGAAAAAATTACGAGAAAATGAAAACAATTCAAGGTGTTCATTTCAATCTAAAATTCTAAATAAATTATTAAATGTATTAAAAAAATGAATTTTATATTCTGATATACTTATATAGTTTTGCCATAAAAATTATTGATTAAAATAATTAAGGAATTTCTTTCTTAAGACTAAGAAATTTTGCACGTCTGAGTAAACTCTAATCTACTTAGGTGGTATACGTTCGTTAATTAACAATCTAAAGTCCTAAAATTCAATTATCTATTTAATGAATTATTTTTAATTTCTAAATAATTTCTATAATAATAATTTTATATTACATAATATCCTTATTTGAATAGAAATTGTTTTTGCCAAAATCAAACTTCGTCTTAGGATTTTCTTGTATCAATTTTTGTGCTCAAATCTTGGACTTATTTTGTAATCCTCTTATATATTTCACTTCTTTTATATGGAGAGTAAAGTGAATCGAATTCTTCAATTTTCATCCATAGTATTCTAAAATGAAAAGAGTATTCAATCTTCCAAGTTAGGGTGTTAAAAAAATAAAAACATTTATAAGCATTCTTATCTGATATTGCATTTAATACAATTTCCATTTGAAAATTTATATAAGAAAATAAAATTTTTTTTGACAATATAATGAAATTCTTTTCACATACAAAATTTTGTATTTACTGTTTTTGACTTTCAAAAATTCAGTTCAATCCATCAAGTATTTTAAAAGAAAACATGCATAGAATATTTAAATGTAGAATCATGTGACCTAACATGTCACATATCCTTAAGAAAGAATGTATCCAATTTTATTTTCAAATAGAAGGCAAGATATGTGACGCGTCGCGAAGAAAGGGACCTTAGAAGCAAACGAATTATAGGTTATGTTTATGACAAGTTTTACCTTGATTCAAAGTTTCTTTTCGTTTCTGTAACATCAAAATCAATTTTTATGTATTTTCACTTCAAAATATAACCTATAATTTTTTGCTTTTAAGGTCTCTTTCTTTTATTAGCAAAATTGAAGTGTATTTATATTATTTTTTCAAATATTTCGAAAAAACAATAATTTATCATTAAAGTTATATTTTCAAATATATATATACGAGATTGAAGATTATATCTGTTTTGTTGGAAAAGTATATAGGGTACAGGGAAAGACATCAAGATTTACATATGGAGATACATTTATGACTGGTATTACGTAAAATACGTGTTTCTTTAAAGCTCTATATGACATTTTATGGCGTTCTGGATAAAATCTTTTTTTTATCGTCGTGTTTCATAAATGCTCTTTTGAAAAACTTGAACACAACTTATGATGCTCATTGAGTTTGTTGATTCTTCTTGTTTAATTGAATAGAATTTCATATATATATATTTAGTTTTAAAGTGCAAACTTGGCTTGTGTATTTCATCAAAATTCATATATATCTATATATATATGCTTATGAAACTCGTTTAGAGTATAAAGAGTTATGATTATGACTGTTGGGAGTCATAAAGAAGGGTTTCGACTGTGACATTCAAATTTACCCTCGCATATTCATAAAGAGTACATTATACTTGACTGTAACATTTAAAATTCTATTTCGCTAATGGTATCTTAAATACTTGAAAACATTTTGAGTGTATATATATATATACACAACAAAAATAAATGACGAGCGATAGTAAAAAAATTTGCAGTATTTTTGGGAATTGATCATTTTTTTTGTGTCGAAGATTGGAAAATTTTTGTTCGAGTAGAGAATACAGAAAAACTAAATTACACTAAAAAATGTATATTCTAAATTTAAGAATATCTTTGCGTCTATTTAAGAATATTTCCCAATGCATTTTATTTTTAATAAAATTAGAATATAATATTAAAATAAGAAACAATTGTTAAATTAACCCTTTTGTTCCCATGGGACATATATGTCCCACCTACAAAAACCTCAATAACTCTCAACAAAATTAATATTTCTAAGTCTGCTTTGAGGCATTTTCTTCAGGAGGAATAGTGCTTTCAAAATTTCTAGACCAGATGATGTCTAAAAATTTCTATTGTTAAAAAAAATATATAAATAAATATTAAAAATGACCAATTTTTAAAATCTTTCAGATTCGCCTGAAATTTGTTACTCGGAGGTTTTCGGGGTCGCTGATTACGAATCCAATGATAGTTTTTCAAAATTCAAAATGGCGGATCCAATATGGCGGACGACTTTTGGAAATTCTAATGCAATTCGCTTGAAACTCGTTACTCGGGGGTTTTTGGGGTCGCTGATTACGAATCTGAAGGCAGATTTTTAAAATTTTCATAATTCAAAATGGTGGATTCAACATGGCATAAAAAATTAAAAAAATTGACTTAATTCGTTTTAATCTTGCTTCTCAAGGGTTTTTGGGGTTACTAATTATGAATCTGGAGTCAGATTTTTGAAATTTCTAAAAACTCAAAGATGGATCCAATATGGTGGACGAATTTAAAAAAAAAACCCAAAAACCCTCGAGAAGCGAGTTTGAAACGAATTGGGTCAATTTTTTAAATTTTATCCGCCATGTTGAATCCGCCATTTTGATTTATGAAAATTTTAAAAATCTGCCTTCAGATTCGTAATCAGCGACCCCGAAAACCTCCGAGTAACCAGTTGGAAGCGAATTGCATTAGATTTTCCAAAAGTCGTCCGCCATATTGGATCCGCCATTTTGAATTTTTGAAAACGGATACCGGATTCGTAATCAGCGACCCCAAAAACCCCCAAGTAACGAGTTGCAAGCGAATTGCATTGGATTTTCCAAAAGTCGTCCGCCATATTGGATCCGCCATTTTGAATTTTCAAAAACTAACACCGGATTCGTCATTAGCGACCCCAAAAACACCAGAGTAGCCATTTTCGAGCGGATTTATTCACTTTTAAAAAAATTGTCCGCCATGTTGTATCTGCCATTTTGAATTTTAAAATTTTGAAAAATCTGACCTCAAATTCGTCATTAGCGACCCGAAAAACTATAAGAACAATTTTAAGGCAGCTTTGCTGAATTTACGCAATGCAATTTCCATTATAACTACTAGCGCTGATTTTAAGACTCATCTTAAAATAAGATTTTCTTTTTACTGTGAATATTATATTCTAATTTTATTTTATTAAGAATAAAATGCATGGGAAATATTCTTGAATAGGCGCCAAGGAGATATTCTTAAAATTAGAATATAATTTTTTCATTGTAAATAGAATGTAAAGATTTGCTGATTCAATAAAAAAGAAAAGAAACGAAGATATAAAACAATGTTTCAGTATGGAGAAAAATGTTAACGGCTTGTAATCGAGATTTAAGGTTCCACATAAAAAAAAAGTTTATTGTACTTTAACAACGGAGGTTTAACTTAACGTTTACAAGTTTATAGTTATCATTAAACTTCGATTTGCGTGTTGAGAAGTAAAACATTTCAAATTTGTTTTCTTTTATTTTATACTCTAGGGTAAATTTGTAAATATTTTTTATTTTTTTTTTTTCTGTAAAATTAGATGAATAGGATCATTTTCTGAAATGTGGAGAATATATACATGAACGATTAATATTTGTGTAAAAGGAAAGATTTTTCAAATGTTATGTCTTTCCAGCGCATTTGTTATCACTC